AGAATTAGTGGGGGAAGCAAAAGTGGATGGGAATCTCGGAGGCAGTGACCATGAGTTGGTTGAGTTCAGGATCCTGACACAGGGAAGAAAGGTAAGCAGCACGATACGGACCCTGGACTTCAGGAAAGCAGACTTCGACTCCCTCAGGGAACGGATGGCCAGGATCCCCTGGGGGACTAACTTGAAGGGGAAAGGAGTCCAGGAGAGCTGGCTGTATTTCAAGAAATCCCTGTTGAGGTTACAGGGACAAACCATCCCGATGAGTCGAAAGAATAGTAAATATGGCAGGCGACCAGCTTGGCTTAATGGTGAAATCTTAGCGGATCTTAAACATAAAAAAGAAGCTTACAAGAAGTGGAAGGTTGGACATATGACCAGGGAAGAGTATAAAAATATTGCTCGGGCATGTAGGAATGTTATCAGGAGGGCCAAATCGCACCTGGAGCTGCAGCTAGCAAGAGATGTCAAGAGTAACAAGAAGGGTTTCTTCAGGTATGTTGGCAACAAGAAGAAAGCCAAGGAATGTGTGGGCCCCTTACTGAATGAGGGAGGCAAACTAGTGACAGAGGATGTGGAAAAAGCTAATGTACTCAATGCTTTTTTTGCCTCTGTTTTCACTAACAAGGTCAGCTCCCAGACTGCTGCGCTGGGCATCACAAAATGGGGAAGAGATGGCCAGCCCTCTGTGGAGATAGAGGTGGTTAGGGACTATTTAGAAAAGCTGGACGTGCACAAGTCCATAGGGCCGGACGAGTTGCATCCGAGAGTGCTGAAGGAATTGGCGGCTGTGATTGCAGAGCCATTGGCCATTATCTTTGAAAACTCGTGGCGAACCGGGGAAGTCCCGGATGACTGGAAAAAGGCTAATGTAGTGCCAATCTTTAAAAAAGGGAAGAAGGAGGATCCTGGGAACTACAGGCCAGTCAGCCTCACCAGGCCAGTCAGCAGGTCCTCAAAGAATCAATCCTGAAGCACTTGCATGAGAGGAAAGTGATCAGGAACAGCCAGCATGGATTCACCAAGGGAAGGTCATGCCTGACTAATCTAATCGCCTTTTATGATGAGATTACTGGTTCTGTGGATGAAGGGAAAGCAGTGGATGTATTGTTTCTTGACTTTAGCAAAGCTTTTGACACGGTCTCCCACAGTATTCTTGTCAGCAAGTTAAGGAAGTATGGGCTGGATGAATGCACTACAAGGTGGGTAGAAAGCTGGCTAGATTGTCGGGCTCAACGGGTAGTGATAAATGGCTCCATATCTAGTTGGCAGCCGGTATCAAGTGGAGTACCCCAAGGGTCGGTCCTGGGGACGGTTTTGTTCAATATCTTCATAAATGATCTGGAGGATGGTGTGGATTGCACTCTCAGCAAATTTGCGGATGATACTAAACTGGGAGGAGTGGTAGATACGCTGGAGGGGAGGGATAGGATACAGAAAGACCTAGACAAATTGGAGGATTGGGCCAAAAGAAATCTGATGAGGTTCAATAAGGATAAGTGCAGGGTCCTGCACTTAGGACGGAAGAACCCAATGCACAGCTACAGACTAGGGACCGAATGGCTAGGCAGCAGTTCTGCGGAAAAGGACCTAGGGGTGACAGTGGACGAGAAGCTGGATATGAGTCAGCAGTGTGCCCTTGTTGCCAAGAAGGCCAATGGCATTTTGGGATGTATAAGTAGGGGCATAGCGAGCAGATCGAGGGACGTGATCGTTCCCCTCTATTCGACATTGGTGAGGCCTCATCTGGAGTACTGTGTCCAGTTTTGGGCCCCACACTTCAAGAAGGATGTGGATAAATTGGAGAGAGTCCAGCGAAGGGCAACAAAAATGATTAGGGGACTGGAACACATGAGTTATGAGGAGAGGCTGAGGGAGCTGGGATTGTTTAGTCTGCAGAAGAGAAGAATGAGGGGGGATTTGATAGCTGCTTTCAACTACCTGAAAGGGGGTTCCAAAGAGGATGGCTCTAGACTGTTCTCAATGGTAGCAGATGACAGAACGAGGAGTAATGGTCTCAAGTTGCAGTGGGGGAGGTTTAGATTGGATATTAGGAAAAACTTTTTCACTAAGAGGGTGGTGAAACACTGGAATGCGTTACCTAGGGAGGTGGTAGAATCTCCTTCCTTAGAGGTTTTTAAGGTCAGGCTTGACAAAGCCCTGGCTGGGATGATTTAACTGGGAATTGGTCCTGCTTTGAGCAGGGGGTTGGACTAGATGACCTTCTGGGGTCCCTTCCAACCCTGATATTCTATGATTCTATGAATTTTTAATCAAAATGAGAGCAGTCCCTGTCCCCTTCACTCCTGCTGTGAAGGATCTAGCTCTGATTCTCTAACCCTCTAACCTGCCAGAGAAAAGGGAACTAGCATATTTAAAGTAGGCATCATCTGTCAACTACTCTGCAATATAGGAAAACCATGCAGTTTGCAGGAGGTAAGATAAAGTGCTTGTAATGGAACCTCAGGTTTACCTTGTGTTTTTAAAGAAAAAAAACACCTGCCCATACAGTAGAATCTGGTGAGAACATTAAATTCCTTTTCAAAGTAGACTGCCAAGACTGATTTCTAACCCTGGAGGCACTTTCAAGAATATAATATCTTTTGCCTCCATCTCACAGTATTACCACCACCCTATCCCCTTTCTTTGAGAATGGTAGGGAGAATTTAAAAGAACATAAGGGAAAGAGGGAGAGAACAGAACTCATTCTCTTTTTCCCATTCCTCCCTCTCAGGAAACTACCATGGAAACCCTTTCAGGATGGAGGGCCAAACAGCTGTTGGAGGAAAAAGAAAGCTGTGGTGCTAAAAACTATTGGGAATTCCTCACAGGTAAGGCCTTACAAGTTCTTGATTAGCAAACTAGCATACTAAAGGTAAATCACTCCTTATTAAAGGCTTAATCCAGCAAGGTTGAGGGAGCTGTAGAGCCTACCTGCCAGTGGGCAATGGGTGCTTGTGAGGAAGCCTAAGAGTTTATTAGTGGCTGCTGCCACAGATTCATTTCACATCCACTGGCTCTACCTGCACCCAACTGAGTCCTGAGGACAGTAAACTAGTTAGAATTCAATTTTTAGTAGTGGGAAGTGTGGTTTGCATATACCCAGTGTAACATGCATTCTGAACAGAGAACAACGGATAGAACCTAAAGCTTTAGATCAGCTACAGCTGTTTCTGATCCTTCAGAGTAGTAAAGTGCTACTCTGAAAAGGGATTTTGTACAAAGACAGACCATGGCATTCCATAGGTATCTTTACAATGACTCCGGGATCAACTATTTTCAGTTTACAAGAATCTCTTTCCCCATCCCAGTGAATGCTAGCCTTGCCTCAGAGACAAATTCAGTTCTTTCCTTCTCAAAGACCATGTGATAAATGAAGGGGAGGGGGGTGTAAGCTCCCTTTTATGGACACCCAGCCAGCCAGTTAGCTATAATGTCCCTCTTGGTGGCTGGTCTCTGCTTGCTTTACCTGTAAAGGGTTGTTAAAGTCCCACAGGTAAAGGAAAGGGAGTGGGCACCTGACCAAAAGAGCCAATGGGAAGGCTAGAACTTTTTAAAATGGGAAAAAACTTCCCCTTTCTGTCTGTTATTTTTTTCTCCGGGAAAGAGGGGAACAGGGAGCAGTTATGCTATGAGAAGCTTTAGGCCAGGTATGATCATAAATCATCAGATCATACCTAGTACTTATTTGGAACTCCCAAATGTGCAAGTAGATCAGAAATGTTTAGAAAGACGCAATTTGCTTTATTTCTGTTTATTTCTTATGGCTAATTGAATCCTCTGTACTAACCCCAGATGCTTTTGTTTGCTTGTAACCGTTAAGCTGAACCCCCAAGAAAGCTATTATGGGTGCTTAATTTTTGGAATTGCTCTTTAAAATCTAGCAAAAGCCTAGGTTCCAAATGTATTTTCTTTCTTTTTGGTTTTAATAAAATTTACCTTTTTTAAAGAACAGGATTGGATTTTTGGTGTCTTAAGAGGTTGGTGCATATGTTGTTTAATTAGCTGGTGGCAACAGCTAATTTCTTTTGTTTTCTTTCTCAGCTCTTCCCCAGAAGGCTGGGGGGAGGGGAGGGAGAAGGGTGAAAGGGCTTGAGGGTACCCCACAGGAAGGAATTCCCAGGTACGTCTTCCTGGGGTTCCAAAAGGGGTTTTGCATTTGGTTAGTGGCAGTGTTTACCAAGCCAAAGTCAGAGAAAAGCTGTAACCTTGGGAGTTTAATACAAGCCTGGAGTGGCAAGTATTAATTTTTAAAATTTCTGCACTCGAAGTGCCAGAGTGGGGGAAACCTGCCTTGACAGACCATCACCATAGAAAGTTCTGCAGGCCAAACTAGTGACACCTGCACACCAATGCCTTCAAAAGAGTTGTACAAACAAGACTGTCCAGTTTTTAGTTAGATGGTACTAATCAATTCTAGTGATGCACAAGGATACTATCTGGTTCTTAGATACTATATCAGCAGTCAAACTTTAAGAGAGTAGAATCTCTCATAATGTTGCATAGCCAACAAAATTAATAGGCATAAAACCTGCACAAAATTATTTTAGTCAATGAAATCAGCAAATAGGATTCTGAATACACAGGAAGCAGATCTGGTGAGTAAGGGGCTATTTCTGCCATCACTTTTCCTGGAAGAAAAAATTTAAGAGGCAGCTAGCTAGGTCAAATAGCTGGTGACAGGACAACGGTAGGGGATGGACAGGGTGTGTTACATAACGAGTGGGGGGGTGGGGGAAGAAGAGGGACAAATCCCAATGAAACCAAAAGCAAAAGTATAACTCAATTGTCTATCCAGATTTACTAACAATTCATTTCCTCTATTCATGTTTAAATCTAAGGTGTTAGAGACTGATCCATCAGCTTCCAATTTTTGATTACAGCTCCTGAACATCCTATGGTACATCAGATCCTGCTACTGAAAGGTCAGCATGAGAAGGGGGAAGGACAGACAGAAAGGTAGACTCAGAGGAGACAACGGTAGACTGTAACCATGTACTGACAACCTGCCGCCTCTTTTAAGTCTCTCAGAGCGGAAGTTCTCATAGTGAAGGTCCTGGGTCACCTCCTGAAGATCCTGCATATGGGTACTGGAAGGAGCAAAAAAAAGTTGATAGTGAAACCATGCCCTGTGCCGAATCATAACTTGTTGAGGCACTTTCTTGATGCGTGACTCAAATATAGTATGAATAAGGATAGTCTGGTCATTTGAACCCAACATGCAAAAATACAAGCGCATTTTTTTACAACCCTCATGTCACTGAACCTCTACACGTCCCCTCCTCACCTCATGACATTAACATTCATTTTTTACAATGTTTATTTCTCTTGAACAGTAGTAGGTCACAACAACCAGCAGTCCAAGTACTGAAAGTAAGGTGAGAGAGCGCACTAGTATAGAGAACATGAAGGTTTCTTGCCATTTGTAAAGAGAAGAGCAACAGCAGCAAGTGTTGCCTTCTCACCCCAGACATGGGGGTAAGGAGGTACAACAGCTATCCTTCAGTGTGGAAGAATGAGGAAAGACCGCTCCCAAAAGAATTACTTCCTCTTCCTTGAGAAGGCTCAGGTGGCAAGGTCCATCCAGGGCCCTGTGAAAGGGATACTACTGCCTTGAATATTAGACAGGGCAGTAGTATCCCTGACTATTAGACAGGGCAAGTCTCCCAGGCCCCTGTGACCTATATGGAATATGTGGAACACTTTGTGATATTGATACCAATATTATAAAATTGCTATCAATCTGACCAGATATGCTGTGTAAAGTAGCTGCAAAAATGTTATAATTTGCCCAGTATGATAATCTTGTTTATATGTTTGTATCACCCTTGTATTGTGAGTTGTAGATATGCATGGTATATCTGTATTTCAAAACTTGTGCAGTGTTTCTGAGTGACACCCCCAGACAGAATGACCTCAGCACTAAGCCTGCTTGTTGGCCCATCAAGAGTCATCAGCTGTACAATGAACCCATTGGGGGGAGGAATAGCTCAGTGGTTTGAGCATTGGCCTGCTAAACCCAGGGTTGTGAGCTCAATCCTTGAGGGGGCCATTTAGGGATCTGGGGCAAAAATCAGGGATTGGTCCTGCTTTAAGCAGGGGTTGGACTAGATGACCTCCTGAGGTCCCTTCCAACCCCGATATTCTATGAAAGGCGCCAGGGGATATACCTTATGAGTCAGCAAGGCATCGGGGGGTGGGGGTGGGGAGAAGTGGGGGGAAATCAGAAGCACACTTTGTGACTGGTTGGTGAGTTTAACTTCAGTGTTAACCACAGTTCTGGGAATATCTGCTCTCTCTTTTGCAGCTTGCCAGGACCTTGGCATTTTCAGTGAGGGCTATCCCCAGGCACACCAGGTCACATTCCCACTGCTCTTTCCCACCTCAGCTCCTCCAGTGAGAAAGATAACGGCGAGCATTTCTTGTCTTATGCAATCCACTACGTATGTTCTCCCTCTTCTGAAGGAAGGTAAGTCTACATTAAAAAGTTAGGTCAACATCACTACGTCTATCAGGGGTGTGAAAAATCCACAGCCTTGAGCGATATAGTTATACTGACCTAACCCCCCATGTAGACAGTGCTAAGTTGACAGAGTAATTCTTTCATCAACCTAGCTACCACCTCTCGGTGAGGTGGGTTACCCACACTGATGGGCGAACCCCTCCTGGTGATATAGTGAGTGTCTACTCTGAAGCACTACAGCAGCACGGCTGTAGCACTGCAGCGTTTCTAGTGAAGACAGCCGTATGCTCCCCTTCTGTGAAACTGTCAGTTGACACTTAAATAACAAACACAACATTCATTAGTTACACACAAAGGTATTGATACTACTTCATCTTTAATTCCACCTTCTGGAAATGAGGTTTAGTGATACCATCAGGATTTTGGTTCTCTATCTTCAGAGCAGGGTGGCTTACAGCTCCCTATCACTGCTACCAGAATAGTTCAGTATGTGACTCCATTTGCCTGGCTGCAGTTTGATCACAGGCTGACCTTAAGTTCTATCCCTCACAGAAGCTCTAACCCAAGCACATCGCTTCAAAAAGCTTCAGTACACTGATGTATACTTCAGTAATACTGTTTACTCCCTTCAAATTTAAAATGTTTGTAAGAAAGTTGCTAAAGTCTCTCAGCTTTGATGAAAGACTAATTTAACCCATGATGGTTAGGTCAGACTGCTGGACATGAAAGGTCTGAGAAAAGAAAATTTTATTGTCACCTAAGAATTTCCTTTGCACAGCCTGAAGTCTGTATAGTTAGGGGCTCTTAGAATCATAGAATATCAGGGTTGGAAGGGACCTCAGGAGGTCATCTAGTCCAACCCCCTGCTCAAAGCAGGACCAATCCCCAACTAAATCATCCCAGCCAGGGCTTTGTCAAGCCTGACCTTAAAAATGAATATCTTAATAATGAATATCCTTTTGAGGGAGGAATAACTACATATTAGCGTATTAAAAAAGTTTAGAGACCTTTCCTACCAAAGGGCTATATATCTACATAGAACAAGAAGTCTATTTTGTAGGGTTTTGAGAACGTATGTACTGAAGGCCCAGTTGTTGCCTTGAAGTTTCTTTGTATGTATGTAGTGTTGTTGTAGTCGTGTTGGTCCCAGGATATTACGGAGACAAGACAGGTGAGGTAATAACTTTTACTGGACCAATTATGACCTCATCCACCTTCTCTCTCTAGTTTCCTTTTAAGATGGGATAGACAGGCCAAACTAAGAACTCACTTACATGGTCAAGTGTATGGCAACATAATGGGCTACCCCATTAGCTTTCTTAGGTCTTCTCTACATGAGGAAAATGACACACCCAAGGTGTGAATTTAAACCAGTATAAACTCCAGTGTGGACACTTCTTTCAGTGTCAACTTAAGGTGACTGGGAACAGGTTTAACTTTCAACCAAAAACATTTATCAAAATAAGTGTCCGCACAGGGTTTTGAACCAGTTTAAACTTAAATTGACTTTTTAACAGATCTAGCAGGCCCTAGACTCTGAAATGCAAACCTTAAAACCAGGCTCAGCTTTTGATGGTGGTAGGTCCCCCAAATAGGACTGCTGAGCAACAAGACACTAGAAAATGCTATTAACTTTTTGTAGGTTTTAGTTCTGTGCAGATATTTTGATTGCACTTTTAATATGTAGGGAGTGCTGCTCAATCTTGAGGTTCTTGAGACTTTGACAAAAGGATGACAGTACTACCTAAGAAAGAGGTTTGAACACAAGATTAAGTTTTGATAGAAGTGTAATAGTCTTACATTAGCATGGTTCTCAGCTTCAGGAAGTCGTTGTGTTCTGGGTTCTCCACTTCAACTACACCCCATGGATAGAGACGACCTCTAACTTTTTTACCTTTGGCTTCAATCAACTGATTGGATCCCACTACACAAAATGGGATACTGACCTGAAAAAAAAAAAAATCAAGAGTCACCAAGAATGAACTAGAACCAAACTAGAACCAGTAATCAGTTTCACTAGAAATTGCAGAAAAAAAGCAATAAGCTTTGTGTAGTACTTTTCATCTATAGTTCTCAAAATAATTTACATTGAATGGCAAGCATCATTATCCCCATTTTTCAGATGTGGAAACTTGGGCACAGAGTTAAAGTGACTTACCTGAGGTCAGACAGCAGGTCAGTGGCAAAGCCTGGAACAGAATCCAGGTCTTGTTTTAAAATTATATATTCACCTTGGAAAGTCTGGTAAAACAGGATATACCACTTCTAGCTCAAGAGCTGTATCCATCACAACTATGTCTAATCTAAAAACTATTCCTACCTTCAGGAGCCTGGTCTGTTCTTTAAAATCTTCATCCTCATCTGATTCTGCATCGGGCAGGTGATAAATCTTGATGCCATGTTGTTCAATTTCATCCAGAATCTGAAAGAGTACATCAGGAATGAAGGTAATATACACAAGTCAATCCTTTAACTTTCAAGGTAAACTAATTGCGCAAGAACCATGTCCAAAGAAAGTCTAGATTTTTAGAAGTCTTAATTACTTGCCTAATTTTTGTGTGTTTTAAAATAAAGGCCATAATTGGAGAGACTTACTGTAAACTGACTTTTAGTTATCCTGAGTTGTTCTAAACACTGACAAAAATTACTTAATCCTATCATAACATACAAATCTTTCTCTCAAATTTGAGACAAATGACAATTCTGTTCCTTCCAACTCCACCATGTTAGTGTTTTGGAAAATTCCTGTCACTTTCTTGGAGAATTCAGGTTTACATTGTAGAGAGATACACATAAATTTACCCCAAAAATGATAGCACTGATTAATGTAGCAATTGTTCATAGTGAGGCATAAGCCTTTGCAATTAACTCACTATTGTGTTTTATCACTGCTACAATGTCATTTTGAGATTATGAAGTGAGTATAAAAATAGTAATCTCTAAAGTTTGTTTATAAAATTTGTTTAAAACTAATGCAAGTGCAATATCCCCTTCCACATTTAATATCCCTCTCTCAAGCTATGTCTACACTGGCAATTGAACGACAAATTTTTTTTGTTTTTCAGGTGTTTAAACCCACCCTTGCAAAGGACAAAAGTTTTGCCGTGGCAAGTGCCAGTGTGAACAGCGTGTTGTCGGCAGGAGCGCTCTTCTAGCCCTGCCAACAATGCGAATGCCGCTCGTTTGGGGGGAAGGGTAGAAGTTTTTTGTTGGCAGGACAGCCAACAAACAGCGGCTACACTGTGCGACTTAACAGCATGGCTGTGGTGATACTGCTATGTTGCTAAGAGCTGTGTAGTGTAGACATAGCCTTAGGCTAGCTGTAGCCAGCATATCCTAAGTGTTACCTTCTTTGCTCAGCACATATTAACTTTTGCTTTAGAAGAAAACTTTTCGCCTTCCATGACTGCATAGCAAAATGTATATAAATATTATATATATAAAAAACAAATCACATTTGTTTTATGGTATGGAGACTGCCACCTTCATTATGAGTTGTGCTGGAGAGAATTTTCCATAGGGAGAAGTCACTAACTGACTAGTAATTTGTGAGCAAATGTATTTTAGTTTTTATATCAATTTTTACACTTTCTGGGCAGATGGGGTCAAGAATTATAGAGTAAAAATATGCTTGGGGTTCTCAACCTCACTCTAAGACATGAGCCACACTATGAGAAAAGAAAAGGAGTACTTGTGGCACCTTAGAAACTAACCAATTTATCTGAGCATAAGCTTTCGTGAGCTACAGCTCACTTCATTGGATGCATCCGATGAAGTGAGCTGTAGCTCACGAAAGCTTATGCTCAAATAAATTGGTTAGTCTCTAAGGTGCCACAAGTACTCCTTTTCTTTTTGCGAATACAGACTAACACGGCTGCTACTCTGAAACCTGTCACTATGAGAGTGTCTCATTGACACTCCTCTCCCACTGGTGATAGAATCTCTGTGGCAACTAGAGCAATTACTGACTTTCTTAATGTTGCCTTGCCATATAATATATTTTTAGTGGTCAGTATGATGTAGCAGCAGGAAACCAGGGAGAGTCAGCATGATGCAAGAACTAGCTTTGGGTGGGCTACTGGTGGTTCATGGATCACAATTTGGAAGCCACTGATATAAACAGACAAACACTCCCTCCAAGACAGTGAGCAGACTTATTCTCTTCTGGACTGGAGTGGAGAAAAGATTTCTCCTTTTTAGCTCAGAAGATTCACTGAAAATTGAAGAGCTGAATGATGGAACTACTCCATCCACGAGGGGAGGGAAGAAAAAAAGACATGTATATGAAGGAGTAAGGTAACGGACCTAACTCCTGGATTCAATCTGGCACTAAACAGATGAAATTCAAAACAGTCATGTGTAGCCACATTTAAACAACATACATTTCAATTTACCTATAAATAGTGTAGAGTGAAAATGCTTTCTCACCACAGTCAACAATAGTCCAAACATGATGGAGACTGTTTACAAGGAAAATTGTAGCATCCATGAATTAAGTTCTACCACGTTTATTGTTAAAGACTATATATATATATATATATATTTAAAAGTAAAGAGGGGAAAAAAACCAGTATGATTCTGAATTTCGGGGGGGGAGGGGGGAGGGGAAGCAGGGGGAAATCAGAGATTTACTTCAAAACAACTCAACTTGGAACGGCTTATTGCTCCCAGTTACATTTTCAAAGCAAAGTAAAATATAAGAAACTTAGGGGAAAGCTTTGCAGAGATATGGGGCCACTAGTTTAAAGACTGGCCTTCTATGCTGGATTCTGGCCCCCATAAATCCTTTATTTCTTCCCCTCCCTCAATTAAGAGCTGATTTTTGCAAAATTCTAGCAGTACCTGTATTTCAAAGCCAAGTGTAATTAACTCACTGACCAGACTTCAGGAAACAAGTTGAAAGGATTTACAGAATGAGTGGAAGTTTTAAATTTAAGAGTGGTTGTTGGGTCACCAGGGCCTCTTTAACAAGTTAATTACACTTTGCATTGTAAAACTCAAACAGGTATAATCACCTATTGCTTGATTTAAAAATTAAAGAGTAAAACATAAAAGCTCTTCAAGGCTATAAGGATCTGACACTGTCTAAGAAGGGGTGGAATAAACTGGTACCAAGCAGTGGGTGTAGGGGGTGTCAACACATAAAGAAAGCGATAACATATCTTAGGGGTATGATTTTTATACTTAAAACACATTTAAACAGTTAAGTATTTAAATGATAATGGAGTCACCTACTTTAAATAAGCTTGTTTGCTAGTGCTAATGTTTATGTTCTTATGTTAATCCATTGCTTCCATCAGTCAGCTCCAACATTTCAAAATTCATTTTATAATTTAAAACTAGTGTGCATAGCCAATCTGACCCAAAGTGAAAGAAACAGGTCCAATCCTTCTTAGGCTTGGCCGGATATTACAGCCGATTTGTACCGCAATACAGCCAAATCACCGCTCCCACTGACAGATGACCATTGCTGAATTTAAAAAAAGAATAATACCCCCAGTCAAATCAAGAATCAGAATCCTCAGGATGCCAAAGACTGTGTGTTTTCTGGCAAATTTTAAACCACAGTACACCATGCCTGTACAGTGTCATGTGGGAGAACAGCACTTTTCTTGGCTGAAGTCTCCCTGCTCACCTACACTAGGGTTACTAGTAGCCAACATTAACACAAACGAAATTAGAACTTACCCTTTTCTTCAGCCTTTCCCGTTCCTTCAGAGTAAGTGTATCAGCTTTTGCAATTACAGGTACAATATTCACTTTGTTGTGTATGGCCTTCATAAACTCAACATCCAAGGGTTTAAGACTAAAAATAACGTTGAAATTTAAAAGAGTGTCAGGTATTTAAATGCCTAACTTATTTTTACACTAAAATGAACACACGCACAATCTTATAAAGATGAGGTTTTTTCTAACAATTAAAAAGTTTCCATTTTCAACAATTCTAGATTGTCATCCTAAACATCCCCTACTTCTCCCCAAAAGGGTAAATTCACCACCTCTAATAGTGATATGTAACGGTTTCTATATGATCTGTCTTGTTTTTCAAAACTTAGTGAGCAAAAACTCTTAGAGTAAAAGTTGTCAAAAAAAAAAAAAAGGTAAAAAAATAAAATATAAAATAAAGTGCATTGATACTTACCCATGACCAAATGGTGAAACAAAGTAGAAGCAACAGTGTACCCGGTTATCTACAATATGCCGCCTGTTCAAGCCACTCTCATCATGCAGATACCGCTCAAACTGCTCATCAGTATAAGAAATTATGGTCTTAAAACTGTAAGAAACAGGTGGATTAATACAGCTATGCTGACCATTTAGATGCTCACACTCCATATTCTGAAGAGGGGTTTTATAGTAATTTTTCAAAGAAAAAAATAAACCACCAAGTTATCTCTTAACCAGCCAACCTAATATCTACCCCCCCAATATCAAGCAAGTACTGGGGCCGTGAAAATAAGATAAGCTAACAAGATTGGAGACCACAATAGTATACACTCTTGGACATTAGGCAAGTCAAACTCCTGCTTTAATGATTATATATATATATATATATATATATATATATATATATAGAAAATACACAAGGGTAGTGAAAAAATCAGTACTATATTTATTCCTCTAGTGACTTTCTCCTGAGATTTCCTCTTGGGTTTAATATTAAACAGATGTTCAAGATACTCTTGACTTAAACGTTCCAACTCAGTTTGGGGAAAAAAAAATAAGTCAGCTTTGGTGGTGTAGTAGCAGGCCTGTTGAACTGCGATGCAACAGATCTGAGAAAATGCATCCAATTGCTTATCACATCTATGTCATAAGCAATCAGTTTATTTGATCATAAATATCAGATTCTGTAAAACCGTGTGGTGGCTATACAGTCTAAAATGTTGGCATACAGAACTATAAACATAAGTACTTATGGAGAGTAATTACTAGTGCCCATGAAGGGGCTTTGAGAAATTCCAGTTATATTTATGGACTGACATTTACTTAAATTTTTGTAAGAAATAAAGCTCAGCTTTAAGTCACTTATACAAGATTTAAGACTACATCTGTTCCACAACAGATCTGCACTAGCATTTATGCCTGCTTTTAACATGGATATGATATATGCTCAGAGGTAGGAAAGCAGTACTGCAGCTGCTATTATTGTCTGCCCCCTTGCATATACATTATATTGCCTGTCCAAACGGTCTCTGCTCTTGCAAGAGAACCGATCGACCCAACCAAACTTCCTTCTAATTCCATATCTGAGGGGTGGACTAGCTACATCAGCCTTTGTCCACTTCATTCACTTATCAACAGCAAGAAACAACACTTCTGCAAGTCTTACCTCTACATACAGTCCAGACAGTGTCTTATGGTCATCTCTCCACTGTAAGTCAAAGAACCCTAATCTACCTGAGGCACACTCCAGAGTATGTATTGGCTGCAGTAAACCATATTTGAACCTTCTTGATTTCACCCATAAGATATTTGACCAGCAATAGATCAGTTAAAGTTGTATGTAGAAATCTGACAATTTAATTTAAAAATATTTAAAACTCAAAAATAAATATTTTTATTTCTTGTTTATCTTTGCCTTTAACTGTATCTTAAAAATGTTTGCCAGAGAATTGCTTATCATTTCTCTCCAGTACCTTTTAGAGATGACTTTTTGTTTATTTTTGAAAGTCTGAATGTGAGGCGATTACACTTAGCATATGAAACTTGGGAGGCAAGAGGCTTGACCGAGGGCCTGTCTACACTTACTGGGGGATCCATGAGTGGTGGTCAATGCATTGGTGGTCGATTTAGCGGTTCTAGTAAAGATCCACTAAATTGACCGCAGATCACTCTCCGGTCAACTTCTATACTCCACCGGATAGAGCAGAGTAGGGGGAGTAGACAGCACAGCGTCTCCCATCGATGTTGCATAGCGTGGAACCCACAGTAAGATCTAAGCTATGTTGATTTGAGTTATGTTATTCATGTAACTCAAATTGCATAGCTTAGATTGACTTTTCCCTTTAGTGTAGGCAAGGCCTGAGTTAAGACAAATCAAGATGTGGGCTTTTTCTTTTGTATCTCCAGCACATCTGCAGACATGGTAGTTCATCTCTTTCTGTAAGAGAGAGGAATTTGAACATTTTGTACCAAAAAAAAAGATGGTATGAACCATTTTCTAATTAAATTCTGCTGAACTGCTTGCTGCTATCTATGATCCAAGTCCCACTTCCCATCTTAGTCATTTTCAATTAGAAAGAGTACATAATAGGCTGCACTATAGCTCACTTAAAGCCTTGCAAATTCCCTGTTCACCTTAAAAAGCATGAAAACAAAATTGGAATTAGATGACAAAGCTCAGAACAGAGAATAAAAGGAATTTCACCCTATTTATGAAGGATTGTGTGGGGAAGGTCGATTAATTTCCTATATTTTGTTGCTGGGTTATTTGATCTAAAGTAAGTGACAGGTCTATTTATTAGTGCATCTTTAAGACTGTCATGGGCATGCAGAGATCATGGATGGGCACTCTTACAATAGTTTAATAAATCTGAATAAGTTAATTCCTTTAACAGGTCCTTGAAAGTCACCAGCAGTCACCCTAGTTACTCACCAGCTTTTATTTTGTAATTAAGTTATTTAAGTTACTCTGTAAAATGCAGATTTTTCCTAAAGAAGCAAGGCAAGATTTTCTTCCAATATTGTAGTTTTATAAAAACTTCAATATTCTTGCTAAAATCTCATCATGCATATAAATTTTATAAAGAGCTATAACCCCACACACAACAAAAAGTAGTGCTGATTTAATTCACTCCAATATACCGCATGCCCAGAACTTTAAAGGCAAGTATAACATCATGAGTCAAGTATCAGAGGGTAGCCGTGTTAGTCTGTATCCACAGAAAACAACAAGGAGTCCAGTGGCAACTAAAGACTAACAGATTTATTTGGGCATAAGCTTTCAAGGGTAAAAAAACACTTCTCCATATACCTGAAGTGGTTTTTTACCCACAAACGCTTATGCCCAAATAAATCTGTTTGTCTTTAAGGTGCCACCGGACTCCTTGTTATCATGACTCAAGCAAATGCTAAGGTATCATATCTGGCAAGAGTTCATGATTATCAAGGACTGTGCAAAACACTGGGCACTACAGAAGAGTAATTTTATCAGAGTGCTAAAATACTCTTTATCCTATTGGTCTGGAACATACACGATCGATTTGTAAAAATAAGGATTTTTAAAAACACACCCAAATGAGATCCCTTCAAAGCAATAAAGCAAGCCTGTCTTTCCGCTAAGTCACGTTTCAGATTCAACACTTCAAATACATAAATTAGTAGAAAGATACAATAACTGAATTATAAAAGTATTTATGTTACAACAAACTGCCTTTTATGTTTTAATATAGTACCTAAATGTGCCATTACTGGTACGTTAACTGCCACGTGGTTTAGATGGAACTACTATAGGGAAGGGGTGCATAATTGGTTGAAAAAAAAAAACAAAAACCACACAGTATCAATGACTCATTGCCAGACTGGGAGGATGTATCTAGTGGGTACACTGCATGGGTTACCCCCAGTGAAAAGTTCTGGGCTGCGGTACTATTCAATATTTTCATTAATGACTTGGATAATGGAATGGAGAGCATGCTTATAAAATTTGTGGAGGACACCAAGCTGGGAGGGGTACAAATCCTTTGGAGGACAGGATTAGAATTCTGAACAACCCTGACAAACTGGAGAGCTGGTCTGAAATCAACAAGTTGAAAGTCAATAAAGACAAGTGCAAACTACTACACTAAAAGGAAAAATCAAACACAAAACAACTGGCTAGACAATAGTTCTGTACAAAATAACTTGGGGGTGAGAGTGGATCACAAATTGAATATAAGCCGACAAGGTGACAATTGCAAAAAAAAAAAGCTACTATTCCGGGTGGGGGTTGTTAACAGGAGTGCAGTATGTCAGAAACAGGAGGTAATTGTCCTGTTCTACTCACACTGGTGAGGTCTCAGTTGGAGTACTGTGTCCTGTTCTGGGCACAACACTTTAAGGTAGATATGGACAAATTGGAGAGAGTAGAGAAGAGCAACAAAAACGACAAAAGGTTTAGAAAACCTAGGAGGAAAGGTTAAAAACCTGGCATGTTTAGCCTCGGGGGGGGGGGGGGGAGAAAAAATGAGGGGGGGCTGATAATCTTCAGATATATTAAGGGGAGTTATAAAGGACACTGATCAATTGCTGTCCATGTTCACTGAAGGTAGGACAAGTAGTAATGGGCTTAACCTGAAGCTTGGGAGATTTAGTTTACATTTTAAGGAAAACTTTAACACAAAATATAGTTAAGTACTGGAATCGGTTACCAAGGGAAGATTGTGGAATCCCCAGCAACGGAGGTTTTTAAGTTAGACACACACTTATCAGAGATAGTCTAGGTATACTTGGTCCTGCCCCAACACAGGGGAATGGGCTTGGATGACCTCCAAAGATCTCTTCCAACCCTACATTTCTGTGATTGTGCTAGGCGCGCAATGTACCTGCACTTCAGCGATTTAGTCCTGAGAAAAGAGTATGAGAATGAACTTCAAAGAATCCAAAGGGAGACGTAAATCCTCTTTTCTATAGGTCAATAAACCCTTTATATACATACCAGTCTCGGCAATTGATGGCATCACCATAACCTGGTGTATCTACAACTGTCAAACGGAGCTTAACACCCCTTTCCTCGATTTCAACTGTTGAAGCTTCAATCTGCACAGTCCTTTCAATTTTTTCTATAAAACAGCAAACTTGATCTTAAAAAGAAATCTCATAAATTTAGTTAATTCTAAGGCTAGATCAAGAATATCCAGCAAGTGGAACCATTTAAGAGGCTCTCTCTACTAATAACCTTATTCTTGGGGTCACATGACATCAGAAGCAGACAAAATTTTCCATAGAAGCGTTTTTTCAAGACATCTGAGGATGTGTACTGTTTCTTTAAATCTGTAGCAGAAAGCCAGGCAGGATGAGTTTAGATAGAATGAGAAACAGACAGTAGCTTTCGGAGTACTTTTATTTTTATAGGGAAGGTTCTTTTCCATTGTTGGAAGAAAATGACAGACATGCCACATGACATGCTGAGCTAATGAAAATGAGTCACTCAACAAGAAAGCAGTGGAACTGCAATGCAAAAAGAACACCCCCCGCCCAAAAAAAAAAAAAAAAAAAAAGAGAAGATTCCCAGAAGAGGGAAACAAAAAATATCCATTAACAGCTTCAAATTCCTTTGGCAGAAATGTGGCAGGTGTGTGACAAATGAGAATGCAGGACAGATAAATTATGCACACTCAGTGGAAGCATGTGCAGAAAAAAATAAAGAAAATTAGCAGTGTGTCTATCAAGGCAAGAAGCCAAGTGATGCCTATACTTAGAATTTCTCTAAGGGAGGTTTCAGAGTGATAGCCATGTTAGTCTGCATCAGCAAAAACGAGGAGTCCTTGTGGCGCCTTAGAGACTAACAAATTTATTTGGGCATATGCTTTCGTGGGCTAAACCTCACTTCATCAGATGCATGGAGTGGAAAATACAATAGGGAGGTATACATACACAGCGTATGAAAAGATGGGAGTTGCCTTACCAAGTGTGTGTGGGGGTCAGTGCTAATGAGCCAATTCAAGTAAGGTGGAAGTGGGCTATTCTCAACAGTTGACAAGAAGGGGTGGAAATCACTTTTGTAGTGCTAAGGGAGGTATTATGAGAATTTTCTGCATCTTTGTTCAAGTTGACTTTATTTTCAAAAAGACTTCTGTCCTCCCTTCTTCCTGTGCCATGAAGGCATTTTTTCCCAAAAAGAACTAAGCAGACTCTTTGGTACTATTCATCATCATTCCTCACTTGACCACATGGGCTCATTAACAGATGCAAAGGGCTCATGTTTCCTGGGGTGAAGTGTACTGCCTCCCTAGCACACATAAAGTAGATAATAAGCAAGTAGGGCTCTCCAGCCAATGCAGTTTGAATACTGTTTGCAGTATTCCAGTCACAAATGCCTATCGTAGCTACACTAGCACAAATATGCAACCATATTTGGAAGAGACGACTAAGGGTGGATATGATTGAGGTCTATAAAATCATGACTGGCGTGGAGAAAGTGTTATTTACTCCTTCTCATAACATGAGAGCTAAGGGTCACCAAATAAAAATAGGCAGCAGGTTTAAAACAAACAAAAGGAAGTATTTCTTCACACAATGCAGCCAACCTGTGGAACTCTGCCAGAGGATATTGCGAAAGCCAAGACCGGGGTGGCCAACCTGTGGCTCCGGAGCGGCTCTTCAGAAGTTAATATATGGCTCTTTGTATAGGCACTGACTCTGGGGCTGAAACTACAGGTGCCAACTTTCCAATGTGACAGGGCGGGCTCTCACTGCTCAACCCCTGGCTCTGCCATAGGCCCTGTCCCCACTCCAACCCTTCCTGAGCCCACCCCTGAGCCTGTCGTGCCCTCACTCCTCCCCCAGAGCCTCCTGCACGCCATGAAACAGCTGATCGGGAGGTGCGAGGAGGGAGGGGGAGGCGCTGATCGGCAGGGTGGTCAGTGGGTGGTAGACACTGGGAGCAGGGTGGGGAACTGAAGGGGGGCTGCTGACGTATTGCTGTGGCTCTTTGGCCATGTACATTGGTAAATTCTAGCTCCTTCTCAGGCTCAGGTTGGCCACTCTTGGCCAAGACTACAACAGGGTTCAAAAAAGAACTAGATAAATTCATGGAGAATAGGTCCGTCAATGGCTATAAGCCAGGATGGGGAGGGATGGTGTCCCTAGCCTCTGTTTGCCAGAAGCTGGAAATGCGTGATAGGGAATGGATCACTTGATGATTACCTGTTCCGTTCATTCCCTCTGGGGCACCAGTCATTGGCCTCTGTCGGAAGACAGGATACTGGGCTAGATGGACCTTTGGTCTGACCCAGTATGGCCATTCTTATGTTATGTTCATTCACACTGAAGAGACATTAGGAAATAAAAATGTTTACCGGCTGCTCCTGGGATTATCCTTTCTGGGTAGAGATCTGTCAAGAACAGGCTGTTTATTAGAGTAGATTTTCCCAATCCAGATTCACCTATGATTCATTTTGAAAATATGCTGATCATAAATACGTTCTACATAATTAACCTTTCAGAAATGATATATAACATCTGATTATAGATATTTTTCTTAAGTTAAATGTAACCAAGTCTTTCAAATTGTGGATTAAACTGACATGGAGTGGTAATGATATAGTCAGGCCACTATTATGCGCTTAAAGCAGGAGTTCATTTTATATATTCCAAATTTTTAGCACATAAGCTCTAAGTAAAGCTTGATATTTGAAGACTTACATGTAAATCTGTTAGAGCTCTAATTTTTTAATTGACCTTAAATTCACAGTATGAGTCTTACGATTTTTCAGTCTCCTGTAGCTTTTAAACTAAAAGTTGTAGTGAAAATTTTGCATATAGTAAGAGTTTGAAGTACATCTGGGATTATTTAATAACTGTCACTGATTGAAAAAAAATGTTACTGGTATACATCACAATCAAATCTTTGTGCTGTGGTTAGCCAATGGAAAACAATTATATCTGCTACTTATATTGTCTGATATGGTATGCAGAAGTCTTTTCAAACTGTTACAGAGTGGTGTACAACACTACCTTTTGGCATATGCACCGAATAATGTTTCCTGTAATTGAAGGCTAACACAATGTGTGATTAATAGGTTTGCTAGTTCAGGGCATTTATGTTGCATCAGACAAAAAGGATCTTCAACAACGGAATGGCTACATAGTTGAAGACCAGGATCTTTGACACTTTAGCCATTTGCTTTGATGAAGACCCTGACCTCTGTCAAACTTCTGATGTAGCCAAACTGTTTCAAAGGGGGAGGTGGTGGGGAGGATCTTTGACAATGTATCCAACTGATTTGTCAAAGATCCTGTTCTTCATTAAACTGATCAACAGAACTGAACAAAAAAATAAAAATAAAAATGAAAAAAGAGCGAAAGATGGGCCTGTCAATCCCCCTGGGCTATATGACCAATGACACTGATCAAACACAAATGTGATGACTGAATATGAAGACCAAAATGAAAATTAAAAACCTATAACAAAATGAAAAACCCAACCAGCTAAATAGTTGGTCAAATGTTTTAGAAAAATGGCCATTTTTCAAACTGAAAAATTACAACCAGTTCCTACAATCAGCTGATTCAGGAATGGAGCTTGCTGGCTGAACAGTTTCATGCAACAAGAAAGCCATGATTTTTATTGATGGAGTTTACTACTGCTTGAAACTGGGCTAAGCTCCACACCAAAACAAGCCACAGTTTTCCTTATCTACTTTAAAAGTTTGAATAAGTGCAGCTACACTGGCAACTGACCACCGATTAATGAATTTGGGGCTAATCCCAAGCCTAGACAAGGCAGTAGTTTAGTGCTGGAAACCTTAAATTGGTCAATTAACACAAGCTTCCTTTTGGTTTAACATGGCCAAGCAGCCAGAATAATATAAATGTCAGCTTGCATTTTCATGCATCAGCCAATTTGTCTACACTTGGATAATTTGGACAAGCAATAATGGAAGCTGTCATTGAAATAGGGAGAGTTATGGTCAGAACCATATCAGCATACACAGCTTTTAAGAAAATTTATCCCATCCCAGTTTCCTGGGAATGAAGACATTTGACTTTATTATTTTGACCTATAATCTTATTCTTTAAAGACATTAAATATGATTCACAACAGAAGAAAAAGTTAAACCCCTCTTTGTTTACCTATACATATCTGAACAGAAGATAGACACATTCAGGCCAAATTACTGAAATAATCAGAATTTTGAGTAATTTATTTTTAACTCACATCTACTGCCCCTCTAGGTTAGCAAAGTATCATCCAAACTCTCCTAATACAATGCATTTCAATGAAGTTGTTTTCCCTAATTTTTCTCCTCAAATATCTTTATTTATACCTTAAAACTATTGGCAGATAGGTAACATACAGTAAGCATTGCTATCCCACACAGAAACTTTCAAATAAGTGTCTTCTCCTTTACTAATGTTGTCTCTTTTCCATACATGAATTTGTTTCTGAATGGAGCAGACACTGGGTTGTTTTGTTTAATAATTTATACATGGCTCTATGCCAAAGCCACTTTACATAGTTGTATTTTCAGCTGATGTCACAGAGTGCTGGGAATTAAATTTAGCTGCAGCAGAGAAAGTGTGTTTATAGTTCTCTTAATTGTTTAAATGTTTTGGATTACAGAATAGTAGACTTCAAAAAGGTTAAAAATAAATAATTTGAGAATTGGGGGTTTCTTAGCAGATAAAGTTTTAGAAAGTAAACTGATATTTTATATAAAAGCTGTTTAAATGTATCCTGTAAAGATTTTATCCAAAACAAAGCCAGCAGAGCTGATGAAAACCTAAACTAGCAAGGAACAGACATTCAATACAGTATAACTGATTTAAAATTTTTTTGAATTCTCACTCTAGGTAATGCAAGCAGGCTCTCATGAATTATTCTAATAAAATGTGAAAAGCAAAGCTTTCCTAGCATTCAACTGTAAGCTACAAAAACAGGACAGAAGTAATGCTGTGGCTGCTCTGTTGACAGAAAACAAGGAAATAATTATGGGTTCGAGAAGGTCTTTTATAAGTCTTGGGCTCTAGAATGATTACAACTCAGGTGGTACATAAACAACCACTAACGGTTATACCACCAAATAGTTCCATGACTCACAAGCCAACTCCTGCAGTGGGGTACATCTGACAGAAGCAAATAATGAAAGGGAGTTTTTATTACTAGTAACGACGTGTGAAAGATATAACACAGCTTTGTTTTCAGATCTGGGATTGGGCTGCTGGGTTGGGTTTTTTTTTGTTTTTGTTTTTAAAAACCACAATTTTACTGGTAGTCTAGAATAGATGGATAGAACCCTGAAATGTCACTTTTCAGTAAACATATTATAAGGTTGAGAACTAGTATGCTCAAAATCCAGAAATTCAAAAGTTATGGTTTCCACAGTAACATGGATACATAAGTGTAATGTGTCTGAGTTAACCTTACATAATGACAGGTTTCAGAGTAGCAGCCATGTTAGTCTGTATCTGCAAAAAGAAAAGAAGTACTTGTAGCACCTTAGAGACTAACAAATTTATTTGAGCATAAGCTTGCTCAAATAAATTTGTTAGTCTCTAAAGGTGCTAAAAATAAATTTGTTAGTCTCTAAAGGTGCTACAAGTACTTCTTTTCTTTTTGAGTTAACCTTGACTTGGGAGCCTGGTGGGGAGTGAAGAGACAGTCTGAGGACTGCTGAATTGCAGAGCCAAATGAGGTGGTCAGTTTGGTATGAAAGGGTTTCTTTTGACCTCTTCTGCTATTCCTTATGTAACACTAAAGTTATCTACCTCATTTTAATGGCCTGTCAAGTTCCCATTTAAATGTACATTTAAAAAATTGTACAGTTAATCATTTTATGCCTACAGACATTTTTTCCAAGTGAAATTGTATCAGCTCCCATACACTGCTGGGCATGCATAATACAATTACGATTACAACAAATAATGGAAAACTAAATGTGCAAGGATGGAATTTTAAACATTTAAAACTTGAAAATTTCTACACCAATTTTCTTCATGCTTAGTCACTACTACTCACTGACTGGCCACATGCTGAGTTTCAAAGTTCACCCATTTTTGCATTATCTGAGCACAACAAATGGTTCAAATAGGGATATGTGAGGGGGGAAAAAAAAAAAGGTTGTCCCAACTCAAAACAGCAAAATAAGACTTTTCCTCAAACTTTTTTTTTAAACCCATTTAAGCACAGAAAGTTTAAGTCCCAAAGGACAAAACAGGAGGAAGTAATGAGTACAAAAGGTGTGAGAAGACCTTAATCTTACCTACAGAATTAGCTACCACACACAATGTTTGGATGTATTACTACTTATGTGGAACAGCTAGCTCATTAACACGTTGAAGTATACTTGAGTTTAATTATCTTTAAACTATACAACTATACAGGACAGAACCACTGGATACTATATAAAGTATATGAAGACTTCCTTCACACAAGAAGTTACATTGCATTCAGCCTAATCCCCAGTTTTCTAAATTCTAATTAGAAGAGTCTATTAAAAATATTCTCTTACCAACCACCATGAGAGTGAACTCAAAGCCCTTTTTCACAGACTTCCGATGAACCTGGTTGGGAAGGTTTGCAAATCCAACATAGCCAGGAGTTTCTGGATTGGTAAATTGGGCAGGCGGTTGCTAAATAAAATAATCAGAAGATTATATATGCTATAGGCTGAAATAACTGAGGACAGTTCTGAAGCTTGTAATTACAAATTAGAGGCAGAGCGGGAAAATATTTGAAGTCTTCAGTCTTTATTGCTCACACTGTTCTCTACAGAATAGGCACTCAAGTTTGAGTCACCTTGAGTTAAAACAGAGGGAGCTGGCAGGAGTGTTTTCTGTAAGACGCCCTCACCTTTGGAACTTACACCCCAACCTTTGGTCTGAAAGAACCCAAACCTGTTGGTGTGTATCACACATTGCAAGGCCTACTTTTTCCACTCAGGCTTTAGGGAATGGAAAGGATTCATGATTTGGTTTTGGTTGTGACTTCACTGCTGATTTTATTTGCATTGTTTTTCTAACTAACTGTCAAAAGGTGCCTGAAGTAAATATAGGAATCCTTTTTTGTATATTATATTGTTATAAGTGTAGATACATAAATGACTGGCTGCACATGCACAATGTAAACCTAAAAAACATTTACATATCAAAGTTTTCACTGACAAATTAGATAGCAACAGCTTTATTATATCTGTTTCATTTCCAGATTAAAATAAATGGCATGTTTTTCCTCCAAGAGTTTAAATGAAACTGAAAATTCATGGGATGCGTTTCTCACTAATACTACTACATGTTGTGCAGAAACCCACTACATAATGGGTTCACGCTACCATAATGGTTAAACAATTTTACAACACAGAATAGATTAACTGTGCTAAGTGAAAGTTTTCACAACTAGTGTAGTTTATTCCAACTATCCTTCCAGGAATTATAGTAAATTATATTCAATATTACCCTCAGCAGACTATGCTTGTGTAGTAATCATACTAACTACTTTTAAAAATGTGTGGTGTTTAACGCCATTTTAAAAGTGATTGTGTGGATGGGACTTATGCACATGCTAAATCAAATTGCAACTCTACATTTCTAGTCAGTTCTGACACATACAAATAAAAAAAATTAAAAGCTACCTGTTATCTGATGATAATCTATTTGAAATCTTATAATAAAGCAAGAGGATTGACTTAATACAGGTGTCCCTTCTAGCTCAAAGTAATCTGTGATCAGTTCATTAAAATCAGAAGGAAAACTAGAGGGTGCTCTGGAAAGGACTCAACTTTCATTTTCAATTTACAATGTATAAACACATCCAACATTAAAGAATAGCAGAAAAAGTTTTCAGACATATTGGTTATTCTCCCCATACTACTCAAACACTTTACACAATTTATGTCAGTGACAATAGGTTAATATGGGCCATTCCGATTTCTACTTTTGACACAAAATGGGTGGAACAAGAAATCTGAATTTTATATGCTGATTGTTACATTTATATGATCTTTTCGTTTAAATTCTCTATTGTTGCTTTTATAATCTTGCTTAAAGGATCTGTCCATCCCCCAGCTTGCTTTTGGGGCAAAAGCCAATTAAACTGGTGCTCATCCTTTTTCTGAATGTTCATTGCTGACTGCAAAACTGGGTACACAGTGGCAGAAGAGAAGTTCAAATACAAAATAGTACAGTTGGGGTAAAGGGTTTGCTCAAGTGAGGGACATTACTTCAGTGGAAAAAAGCTACATGGTTTCCCTTTATAACCTCAATAGGGAAACAACTTTCATAAACAGTGTTTTGCATAATTTCATCTGTTACCAAACTGTTCAAAGTTTATTTTCATTCATCTCTAAATTTCAAATATTCTATACATTTGACTGTGGATCCCACACTCTAAAAACTTTATATTCATTGCACATGAAGGAACGGTTGCCCTATCTAAAAACCTTAATAAAAAACTATGCTTTTATGTTGTAATTAATGAAGATACAAATGCTGTTCTTACCTTGGCCATCCTTATGGAAGGTCAGCCACTCTGTAACAAACTAAAAAACATTTTGTTCACAAACAGGATAATATGAAGACCAAAACACCTACTAAAACCACCACTGTGCAATCAAATTTTAATGGTCTCTTGACAGTGAGCAAGACAGAGACCATTCTAAACTACTTGCATGTATTACCCAGCTTCTGGACCACCTCAAATGATTTCCTGTCAAATACCATTTTTATCTTTACCTTTGCTAGGAAAATCTCACTCCATATTCAAAGACTAACACTGAATGCCTAACTCCAATTCTATTTAATTCATTGGAATCAAAGTTAAGCCAACACTGTGTGCTTCAGAAAATTCCACTCAAACTATATGAGAAGAAAAAAAATCTTTTGCATCTGGAAAAATTATAAAGCTTACACCTTTTACAAAAACCAACTGAAGTAAAATCTAAAGAAGAGCTTTATGTAGCTCAAAAGCTTGCATCGTATACCAACAGAAGTTGGACTAGTAAAAGATATGACCTCACCTACCTTGTTTCTCTAAAAGAAACTATTAGAGTTTACAGGAAATTGCCTTTTCAGAATTCAGATAAAATTTTCAGAATTCAGACAAATACAGCTTTCTCTCCTCCCCCACACTTTTAAGTGTCCTGTAAATAATCATTAAAGGAAGAGGTTCAACAACTCTTTGGGGGAGAGGGACAGCTTAGTGGTTTGAGCATTAGCCTGCTAAACCCAGGGCTGTGAGTTCAATCCTTGAGGGGGCCATTTAGGGATCTGGGGCAAAAATTGGGGATTGGCCCTGCTTTGAGCAGGGGGTTAGACTAGATGACCTCCTGAGGTCCCTTCCAACCCTGATGTTCTATGAACTTTGAAATGTGATAGGGTAAGCAAAATTAGAAAAATCATCATCTCCTCCTCTCTAATCACAATGTCTACAACAAGAAAAGGAGTACTTGTGGCACCTTAGAGACTAACAAATTTATTTGAGCATAAGCTTTCATGAGTTACAGCTCACTTCATCACATCCGATGAAGTGAGCTATATGCGATGAAGTGAGCTGTAACTCATGAAAGCTTATGCTCAAATAAATTTGTTAGTCTCTAAGGTGCCACAAGTACTCCTTTTCTTTTTGTGAATACAGACTAACATGGCTGCTACTCTGAAAAATGTCTACAACCTAATCCTACCATTTAAAATGCTGCTAAAATCTTTTTGCCTCATAGCTCTGCCAGCTCCTCCCCCCAGTTTCTCCTTTAGCTCCCCCTTCATCTACCATGTCAAAAACTAATTTCTTGTCCTTACCCACAAAAAGTCTCCATAATTTATAGCCCCACTCTACCAGACTGACTCCCACCTTCACTATCACTGATGCCAAATTTGATCACCCAATTTTCTGCTCGTTCTCCAAGCACTTGCATTCCTTCCCCCATGCCACTCCTTAAGGGGGGGGGGGGGAAGGCTTCCAATTAAAAACCATAAACCACCACCTAATCCTCCTTCAAGTCCCCCAAAACTCATCTCTTCCATAATATATATCTTAAACTGAAACCTGACAATGGCTAGACAGGTAGAGAACTGTGATGATTGCTACTGACTGCCTACAATATGAAAAGGAGTACTTGTGGCAAGATATAAAACCAGAGGCCTTGACCCTTTGTGGTTACTAAATGTTCAATAGTAATTTTCACAAGAACAAGCGGTGTTTACCAAAATAGAATATTTGCTAGGGAGTTTAGTTATTACCAGGGACTTCAGGAAGCAGATGTATCCAAATTTGCTGTCTGCGTAGCAAGAAGAGTGCAAATTTACCTGCCACAGTTAACTGTGCCTTCAGGACTGAATTACTGTTACACATTGTGTGTGTGTGCGCATGTGTGAAGGAAACAGCCTGAGTGGCTTCAGTGTATGTCTACACCATGCACCTTATAACAGCGCGGATGTGCTGCTACAGCTGCGCCTTGTAAGGCACACAACGTAGTCGCTCTTTGTCGATGGGAGAAAGCTCTCCTGACAATAAAATAAAACACCAATGCGGGGCGGTATCTTAGTCAACGGGAGAGCGGCTCCCACGGATGAAGCACTGTCCACACCATGGGCATGGAAATCGTAGGCTGTGGGAAGCTGTGCCTCCCCAAACAGCCTAGCATGGCCCCACCCACACCCTGCCTCCAGGCCAGGTCCCTTCCTGCAGTTCCCCCCAGCCCTTTGCCCTGGCTGTTGCCATTGCGGTGGCACACCAGGGCTGGGGGCTGCTGTCGCTGCGCTGACTGGGGCTACAGTGGAGGTGCAGACGAGGAGGGTGAGGGGCAGAGCTTCGGGCACAAGCAGAGGAGCTGAGGTCTAGGCTTCCACAATGCCCGGGTCACCAGCCGCCTATCGTGCACACCAGAACTTTGTCGTTAAAACTTTTGTTATTCAGGAGGGATGGGGGTTTCCACACCTCTGAGCAACAGAAGTTTTAACAATGAAAGTACAGGGTAGACAAAGCCTAAGAAATAAAAGCTAGTGCAATATATGACATTGTGTTTATTAGGTGGAGTTCCATGCTATAATTATGTAACAACAGTGCTCCGTGATCTATGGACAATGATCAACGGTCAACAATCAGTTTCCAAGTGGAATTCAAGGAGCTGGTTTAAACCGATCGAGTCCTAAATTGTTTGATATTAGTCAAGAGATTTTGACTCCTTAAGCTACACTGCTGTGGCTAGGATCAGAGGCAGTGCTCAGATGACAAACTCTCAGAAAGAGAAAGGGAGTTACTAGCAGGGTGTTCTCAACTTGAGAAAATCTTCTCCCTGTTGGTCCAAGGACCACATTGGTTTTCCAGGCACACTGCAAGGGCCATCTTTCCACCCACGAAGTGGGGGGGGGCGCGCAAGTTGTGGGTTGGAGGAATTTTATTATGGCTGCTTGGTGGAAAGGGGTATTTACATTTGCTGATACATATCTGTATATTTATTGCTAAAGATAAGAGTCCTGGAGATATTCATTGTGAAATTGAGATTACAAACAGGTGCTTATTTTATAAATCTAAACAAAAAATATGGAGAGTTACCATTATATCAAACTGCACAAAAGGTAAATTAAAAGACCTCTACCTAGTAGTAACTTCTCTTTAAATTCTGTGCAAGTAGGTCCAAGGGTACTGAATTACTTAAGACAATGAATTACCTTCCATATGGATCTTCAAGAACTTCAAATATTAACTGATCAAATCTCAACATCCTTGAGTTAAGTTTCATTATCTCCATTGTACAGAGAAGGAAACTGAGGCAGAAAGAGGACCGTGTCCTTCGCTCAGGATCACACTGCAAGTCCATGTCAGCGGTGGGATTTAAAACAAAAGCACCTTGAATTTTCTGTTATAGTTATAGGATCACACTATTTTGTATTGGATACGCTGTACTGTCTGGTCCAATCTAGGCTTCTCTGGCATAACCATTTATTCATTTAGGGTTCCTGTTGGCCACTGGTTCTCAACCAGGGGTACACATACCCCTGGGGGTACGCAAGGGTCTTCCAAGGAGCATATCAACTCACCTAGATGTTTGCTTAGTTGTACAACAGGCTACATAAAAAGCACTAGTGAAGTTAGTACAAACTAAAATTTCCTAGAATGACTTGTTTATACTGCTCTATATACTATACACTGAAATACAAGTACAACATTTATATTCCAATTGTTTTTTATACTTTCTCATATTTACCATACAAGTAAGCAATTTTTCAGTAATAGTGTGCTGGGACACTTTTGTATTTTTATGTCTGATTTCTTCTGAAAGGGGTACAGTAGTCTGGAAAGGTTGGAAGCCACTGCTGTAGGCAACCAACATAGAAAGGTTTCACAACAGGGAATACTGCATGGAAGATGTTTTAATACTGTGATTAAGTTCTCTCATGCAGGCAGCAATACAATTCATAAGCAGTTTCCAATTTGAGAGCATCCTAGATCTTCCCTTACAGCTGTTCTAAAACCCTACGGAAGACATTATACATGTGTCTTGCATGATCAAAGAGGAGGTTTGAGCAGACTTTGAACTAGGTTAACGATAGATTGCTATTAAATCACATCTAAGCCACTGTTAGATCTCATTTCAAATGCAGATGAAGATAAGTAACTTGCTTCTCTGACACTTTAGATGCTGTCTGTAAAAACTTCACACGTGGCATAGAAAGCTCTAACCTTACAGTTGCTCCATCTTCTTCTACTTGGTGTAATGAGCATTTAGGCTGCAAGGCTCTTTGCTACCTCTTTAACCCTGCTCTCTGGTCAGCTCTAATTTCCACCCTTATAGTCATCAGTCTCCAGCTGTAGCTCCCTAGCTTCTTTCCTTTGCTCCATCCCTGGCACTAAGTCCTAGTCCCACCTGGTTCACAACCCTCACTTCCACAGCCCAGTAAATTCCACCCCTAACAGCCTGTGAACCTGCCCTGCGTTGCCACTGGACCTGAACTTTCCTCTACAGCTAGAGTTTCACCAGGTCTGTTAGTTCTACAGTACAAGAAGAACTAAAGTAATTTACATTTTAAAGGCTAAGCAGTTAATGCTTACATTTAATTGTTAACACGTAAACTTGTGTGTGTGAAGCTGTACACTGTAACTTTACTGACAGTGATCCATTCAAACAGTGAAAATTCACAGTGGCGTAATTGAAACACATTCTGTTTCCGAACTACCTTTTGCAGGAGTAAGTTTAGGTAGCTACAGCTACGGCTAGAAAGCCACAAGGCTTCTCCAAAGCTGCGAGGGGTGTTAAGTGCATAGTATTTGAAAAGCACGTTAGCCTTCAATTTTGAAACGCTAAGAGAAAAAACCCCACCTCCCCCAACCGTACAGCCATCTCTCCTCCCGCTCGCCCACCGGGGAGGGCGGTATCAAGCAAAGGCGAAATCGGCCTGCCGGCTACCTTCTGACCGCAGAAGGGACGAGGGAGTCCTCCGGCGGTCCCCGGCATTGCATCTCTGAAGCCCTGAGAGACATCGGGCTGGGGCTACCGGACAGCTAGGAAGTGCGGCGCCCGGGGATTCTCACCCCCCTCCAGCATCGCAGGGAGCGGCCCGAAAGCAGGACGCGGAACCAGCACCACGGGACACTGCGCAGCCTAACCCCGCGGAAGCTGCAAGCCGCGAATGGGGGAAGAAGGGGGGCGGGGGAGGGGCGAAGAAACTCGCCCGTCTGGCTCCGGAGCCCAGACTCCTCGCCCTGGACCGCCCGCCCCTGAGCGGCCCTAGAGCCCCCCTTCCCCCTGGGGAGCCGGGAGCCGCCGCCGCGCCCCTCACCTGGCAGCCTGGGCTGTACAGAGCGACCGCGGAACCAAGCTCTTCCAACAGTTCCTCAGGCTCGCGCACTCGCTACGAGTCTCTCTAACTACAGTCGCGCGCGCCTCCGCAGACCCCGCCCTAAAGTCGGAGCCGGGGACTCACAACGAAGGGACGCAAGCTCGAGCGGCAGACTCAGAATAAATGTGCGCCTGCGCGCCTCAAGAGCCCTAAAAGCGCATGAGCTTAACTGACTGTGCGGACGCACACGCTATTCCTGTGGCGATTTGACAGGACAAGGGTGTGTGGGGGTGGGGCCACCCTTATGCTGGCAGGTCACGCACATCTCTCTCCTTTACCAAGATGGCGGCTGGCCTCTCGGCCTCGTACCCAGCATAGGCTTCGCCGTAGGCCTATTAGAGGTAATTCCGATCTCCGCTCACACTCGGTATAGCAGCGCGATAAAATGGGGGGTCAGGGACGCATCAGGTAAGAGGGGCTGGACAGCTGAACACGATCCCCCACCCTAGGGGGCTGGGACGACTCTGTTGCCTCCAACAAGCTGACGGCAGCAGAGAGACGGGCTTAGAGCCCGCAATATCTAGCCAGCACTCATCTTCGCTCGATGGTTTGTTCCTTTTCTATTGGTGCTGGTGGGCCACGTGCCAGTGGTACTCCCCCTCATCCCCCGTTACCATAGAGCGCGGCGGAGGGAGAGGCAGCCGCCTTCCGGTGGGGGCTATGGGAGTGGCCACGTCCACTGCACAAGAGAAGGCCGTATGCACCCATTGTCCGGTCCCCCCCACCCCTCCCAGTTGTGGGTGCAGAGTGGTTGCTGTCTCACCCCTGCCCCCCACTTTTAACTGGGTGGTTGCTTCACCCTCCCCCCGTAGATCAGTGGCAGGGGGTCGGATGCAATGTTGCCAACCCCAAGTATTTAAAATACATAAGTGTGCCCTGCTTCCCCCACACTGCCAAATTAATGAGATTGTAAATGCATATGGGGTGATTTTTATTTGCCATCTGGTTTGTGCAGCATTGGAGGCAGATTTTTATGCTGTTCTACAAAAACCATGAGCTAAAACAAAATTTTAAAAAGTGGATATTCTGATGCATTCCCATACTCTAGGGCTTAAGGCTATATCTATAGAGGGAGATTAGGCACTAAGTGGGGTGAGGAGACAGTGTTCCCTCATTTAACTTGGTGGCTCTGCTCCCAGCTCCATTGGGCCTGCCTTTGCATTCCCTTGGAAAATTATTACACTGGGGCTTGGAGTTTAACTTCTCCCGTCCCCTGCAGCAAAGGCAGCCTTAGAGATTCTCTAAATTCTCTACTCCCTAGCACCTAGCTGCAGCATAAGCTTCCCCCATGATGTCCTGCCCCTGTCCCTCTCCCTCTCTAGCCTTGAGGGAATCAGACCTGGAAAGGGTAGTTCAATCTCCTTTCCGGTGAAACAGGAAACAAAGAAACTTGTGCTAGTGGCTTTAGTCATGTCAACACCTGTCCCTTGGGAACAGGGGCAAAACCCTCCAACTCATTGCATTTATTATTTAGTGCTTGGGTATGTGTCCACAGATATGCATAGCACTGTAGCCAGAGGTTAAAGACACATTCTAAGCCCCCAGAGGTTTATACTACGAGCGACTCAACATGCTTGATTGATGCTGTACATGTTAGGGGTTGCTTCTTGTGGGTTTTATTACTTATGTTTTACTTATTTACTTTATTACTTATGTAAGTTGGGTGAAGATCTTATTCCACTAAACTTCTGATTTGGGATTAGAGTTGTCATTTCCATTACTATTGTCTTGAGGCACATCTGCTCCACAACCTCCCACCCTCAGACGAAAGCCCTGTGACCAACACAGATCATTTAGCACCTTCCACCACATGCTTATCTAATCCAGAATCTATTCACATAAAACAATTTAAATACCATTTTACATCTTTGTTAAAAGAAGGCTATTCAAAGAGAAATAGAGCTCAGGTACAGGTTTGCTGATCTGGAAAATGAAGAAGGGCCACAGCAGGCAGTAACAGAAAGTGGGAGGGCAAGGAAGAAGAGAAGGACAACTAGTCCTAGAAGAAGAGGGGAAGCATCAATGAAGATAGGCGGAGTTGGGAGCCACTGGAGGATAGAGACTAACTCATAGAAGATTGCAAGAGAGAACAAAGACCAGAGGACTTGCAGCCAGAAAGAACAGGAGGCGGGCCAGAGAATTGCACCAATACCCGGATGAAGTGGGTCTACATCATTGGTGACCCCCTACTAAGAAGGACAGACCTGGCACCAGAGCTGATCCAGACAACAGAAAGGTGTGCTGTCTGCAGGGAGCTAAGATGTGGGATGTGGACCTGAGGCTGAAGAATATACTAATAGGAGCAGGAAATAATTCACTCATTGACCTTTGCATGGCAACACATGATACTGCTAGATTCTCAGTAGAACGCATCAGTGGAGACAGTGCCAGGCTGGGGAAGATTCTTAAAGAAGTGAAGACTTAAGTGATCTTCAGTGGGATTCTACCTGTCCTTAGAGGAGGAGAACAAAGGTGAGACAAGATTATGATGATCAACAGATGGCTCGGGCAGTGGAGGACTTTGGGATGTTCAACCACTGGGAGGATTCATGGACACAGGACTGTTCTCATCGGATTGACTCCACCTGAGTAGTGAGGGAAATAGACTTTGATGGAGGTTGGCACAGCTGATCAAAAGAGCTTTAAACTAGGAATCTGGGAGATGGTTGGGAGATATACTCATGTAATCTCCATGCCTAATTTGAATATTGACCGGGAGGAAAAAATCAAGAAAGAGAGAATATTGCAATGGAGAAACTAACAGCAGTGGGTAGGAGAATGGACATTAAGAGGAAAGATAGTGCCATTACCATTGAAGCCAGACTGCAATACTGGCAATAGAATGACTGTATCTAAGCAGGTGAAGAATTTGGTTGAAGCTAAGCAGGAACAACTAAGATGTCTGTACATCAATGCAAGGAGCCTGGGTAACAAAATGGAGGAACAAGAACTACTGGTGCAGGAAGATGAAACCAGATATTATAGGGATAACAGAAACATGGTGGAATAGTAGCCATGACTGGAGTACAGGTATTGAAGGGTATATGCTATTCAGGAAAAACAGAAGTAAAGGTGATGGAGTAGCATTGTATATTAATGATGAGGTAGACTGTAAAGAAATTTAGAAGTGATGGGAATGGATAACACGGTCTGTTTGAGACAAAATTACTTTGGGGAAGAAAGCTACCAGAGGCTCCCCTGTGATAGTGCTTGGGGTATGCTACAGACCCCCATGATCCAATCTAGATATGGATAGAGACCTCTTTAATATTTTTAATACAATAAAAACCTTCTGGAAATTGTGTGATTATGAGAGGCTTTAACTTCCCAGATATAGATTGGAGGGCAAGTGCTACTAATAATAATAAGGCCCACATTTTCCTGGATGTGATCGTAGGCACTGGCTTCCTTTGGGCCTAGGGGTGCTCAAGCCCCCACCTGCTTCCTTCCCCCAAGCCCCCACCCTGTTTTGCCTCTTTCTGACCCCACCCCATCCCTTCTCCCAAGTCCCTGCCCCCACCCTACCTCTTCCCACCCAGTTCTGCCCCCTCCCCTGGGTGCACCTTGTCCCCACTCCTCCCAGAGCCTCCTGCACACCATGAAACAGCTGATTGCAGTGTGTGGTAGGTAGGTGGTAGGTGTGCTGGTAGGGAGGGGGAGGAGTTGATTGGTGGGGTCACCGGTGGGCGGGAGGCGCTGGGGGAAGGGAAGGTGTTAAGCACCTGCTAATCAGCACCTATGGCGGTGATAACTGACCGATTTCTTCACCAAATAGTTGCTGAATCTACAGGAGGTGATGCCATTTTAGATTTGGTATTGGTGAGTAGTGAGGATGTCATAGAAGAATTGGTTGTAGGGGACAACCATGGTTAAAGTGGTCATGAACTAATTCAGTTTAAACTAAATGGAAAGATAAACAAAAATAGATCTACAACTAGGGTCCTTGATTTCAAAAGGGCAAACTTAAAAAAATTAAGGGAATTAGTTAGGAAAGTAGACTGGGCTCAAGAACTCAAGGATCTGAATGTGGAGGAGGCTTGGAATTACTTTTAAGTCAAATTTCAGAGTAGCAGCCGTGTTAGTCTGTATTCGCAAAAAGAAAAGGAATACTAAATTTGTTAGTCTCTAAGGTGCCACAAGTACTCTTTTTTTTTTTTTAAGTCAAAGTTGCAAAGGCTATCTGAAGCCTGCATCCCAGGCGGTGGAAAAAATGTATAGGTAAATGTTGCAGACCAAGCTGGAAGAGCAAGCATCTCAAACAGGTGATTAAGAGAAAGCCTACAAAGAATGGAAGATGGGATGGATCAACAAGGAAAGCTATCTCTTGGAGGTCAGAAAGCGAAGGGGAAAAGTGAACTTTCAAACGCCAAACAGAATTGGACCTTGCAAGGGAAATTAAAACCAATAGTAAAAGGAAGTGGAACCGCTAAGCATTGAGGATAATTTAGGGATGGCCCAACACCTGAACAAATACCTTTATTAAAAATGGAGGCAAAGTAATGAGAAGCTTTGCGGTACTGGCAGGCTGGCTAGTGGAAATGAGGATACGGAAGTAGAAATTATCACATGCAAGGTGGAAGTCAAACTTAAAACAGCTCAATGGAACTAAATCGGGGGGCCTAGTTAATATCCACCCAAGAATATTAAAGGAACTGGTACATGAAACTGCAAGCCCAATAGCAAGGATTTTTAACAAATCTGTAAACTTTGGGTCGTACCTTGTGATTGGAGGCTTATCTAATACCTATTTTTAAGAGAGGGGAAAAAGTGATCAGGGAAATTACAGGCCTATTAGTTTAATCTCAGTTGTATGTAAGTGTAACTCATGCCTGTTTGGTGTGGCACTTTATCCCGCTTTAGTGACACCTAGACCACCTAGAGATTGATGTGTCTTCTACAGTCTTGGTTAAGAGGCATGTGGCTTTTAGCTCATGCAGCAGAGGCTCATACACAAGCTTCAGAAGTCCCAGGTTCAATCCTGGCTGCCGATGACGGGGGTGCCTTACATAAAGTCTAAGAACAAATTTTGAAATAGAAAGTACTCACG